ACTTTTTTTAATAGCCTTTGATATGAAAACTGATGAAAAGCTTTTCAAAGTTTATTAAGATCAGAGTTGTTCTTGTTGAAGAATAGCTCTGTTGGGAAATATTTGTCATGAGAGACTTTCTGATAAGATCCAACTTGGGCAGATGTAATATGGTGGGAGAAGCAGGGCAGGCAGAAGAAACTTTTCATGTTTATTGAGGCTTAAATTTGAACATGCCTAGCATGGCTTTCCACAACTAGGAAAGAAACAACAAACATTAATAAATACAATGTCCTTTCTGAGCAAAAATATTGGAATAGATGAAGAGTCAGCAAGAGGATCCTGGTGTGTGGGAAGAATCCAGATTTTGGAATAATAAATTCTGGGTCCAAATCTTGATTGCACTTCTAAATAGCTCTGTGACCCACAAGTTGCCTTTCTGAGATTCCACTGTCTTATCTATAAAATGGGAATCATAATGTTTTTTTCATCAGTAATTGTCAAAGTTTAATGACATGACATGTAAAGCAAGATGCCTGTCATTGTGTGGCTAAAGTGTTGTGATGTTTAGGTTTTAATAATAGGTTCTGTACACAGAAGCTACAATCAAAATGAAATAGTAATATTTTTATATCCAGAGCACAGAAAGAAGGTCTGGTCAGCCTTGGATTTTCCTTAGGCAAATATGAGATAGCACTAGTGTTTATAGCATTGCCTCTAGATGTGAATGGAAGATGGGAGTGCTAGGTGATGCGTAGCCATTGGCATCAGGCTGCTGTAACATTATTCTGCCTGTATATATTATTTCTGTGAATTTCATCTCACTGTTCCTGGCTTGACAATATATTTCGTCAGTCACTGTGGCTTTTCTCTCTTAATGGAATATGAAACTCTATCTCTAGACAAGTACTCACCTTGCAGGCATTACTGCAGAGGCTGAAGCAAAACCTGATAGCAACATTTCCGCAAGTGGACGACATAATAAGAGCTAATATTTACTGAGTTTTTATTGTATTTCATGGGAAATAGGCTTGGCTGCAGGTGACAGACACATTATAATAATGAATTAAGATGGAAATATATTCCTCTCTAATGTAAAAGTCTGGGTTGATTGGCAGCTTTGTAGTATTATTATATGGGCTCTGGGCTTCTTGTTTTTTGTTACTTCACCGTCTTGAGAGTTAAGTTCTTGGTCCAGGATGACTCACCCATATGTTCTCATCCCAGCCTCTGGGAAAGATGAAGACGTCAAGGAAAGGGAGAACCCATTAAAGGCATGATCTAGAGGTTGCTTATATCATTTCTAATTACATTCACTTGACCAACATTTAATTTCATGACAAAACCTAACTGCAGGGGACACTGAGAAATCTAGTATTTATTCTGAGTGGCCATAAGCCTAGTTAGACAAACAGATACTGGGAGACATACCAGAATTGTATATCCCATAATTACAAACATTGTCTTAAATCACAACAACCCTATGAAGTTGTTTTACAGAGGGGTTATTTTGAGACACAGAGAGGTTAAATCTCCTTAAGTCTTGAGACACAGAGAAGTTAAGTAATTGTCTTAAGGTCTCAGAGGAAATAAGTGTCATAGCCAGGATTGGAACCCAGGCAGTCTGACTTCAGAGCCCTGTGATCTGGGCCACTATGTCACCTTCCTTGCTCATTATCTCCCTTGGGCCTTGATGTGATCCACTAGCTAAGATTGTTTAAAAGCATCAAAGAATCAAGGTTTTATAACTTTATTCATGGCTTCCTCTTCAAGGAGGCTAATTGCTTCCATTCTAAAATTCTTACCTTGTGTGGTGCAAAATAGTGTTCAGTACAATTTTGTCTAGACAAGATAACAAAAGAAAAATAATGCCACATAAATGTGATAGGAATTTTAATGAAAGCAATTCCTGATTTGAAAGGAACGTGTCTATGTGATGATAAATCAAGAAGTCTTTTTAATATATTGAGCGTTTTTGATGATGGGACAGAAAAAATTCCATTCAATATATCACCAGAATATAGAAATGAAAAGATCCTATCATTCAACAACTGTCAGGATAGTTCATCTCTTCAGTCTTTAAGATTTCAACTACATATAGGTCAAAAAAATGTATGTTAATACGAATGCAGCCATATAGCATCAAGGAAAGCTAAAGAATGGAAAGCCATTGTAGATTTGGTGGTCAGCAAAAGCCCCTGTAGGGAAGCAGCAGTAAAGCTAAAATTAAAAAGATGAGTGGCAGCTAGTCAGATTAGGAGTTAGGTTGTGTGTTTATGAGTCAGGATAGGCTAAGTGATACAGCAGTAATGGCCCCCAACTTTTAGTGGCTTAAAACAACAAAGGATTTCATTTATGCTACATGTCCAATAACAGGATGTCTGGGGACTCTGCTTCATGACATCTGCAGACCAGAAGCCAGACTTGCAGAGAAGATACTATTTGGGACATCGCCGTTCTCTATGTAAAGACGATAGTGTATGGTAAACCGTGTACTTGATTATAACCTTTAAATCTGGACTCTTCCCACACACCAGGATCCTCTTGGTGGCTCTTTATATATTAAAATATTTTTGCTTGGAAAGGACATTGTGTTTATTAATGACCGCTATTTATTTCCTAGTAATGCAAAGACTTGCTGGTGCAAGTCACATGATCACATCTAATGCCAATTTATTCCCAGAAGTGAGGAAAACAGAAAATATTAGTGAACACGCGAATGACTACTATGTTGGGTGATGGAGTGTGGAGGGAGGGCATTCCCAGCTGAGGAAATAGCATGTTTAAAGGCCCTGAAGTGAGGAAAAATCTTGGCATATTTATGAAACTTTAAGTAGGACCATGTTGCTCGTATGCAATGCGTAGATGGGAGATTACCAGAGGCAGGAAGGGGCAGCAGGGGTTGGATTAGACAAATCTTTATAGGCTATGGAAAAGAGGTGTAGTTTTCATTTAAAGTATAAAGGGAAACTATTAGTGGATTTTAAGCAGAGGAACAACATGATGTGAGAAATATTTTTTAAAAAGTATTGACTAATGACAGTTATTATTCTACAGAGAATAGATTGGAAGGTCACTTAAAAGGAAAGCAGGGAGACCAAATAGGTACATTTTCAGAATTCTAAGTGAGTTACATGGTGGTCCCCAGTTTAAAGTAGTATTATTTGAGAGTAACAGTCCATCTATTTTAGACATTACTTTTTTATTATTCATTATTATCCAGTTAATCTTTTTCCTTAATACCTCCAAACTCACACAGCACTTCAAGCCACTGCAGTGACCCACAAAGATGGAAGGAGATGATGAGCTTTCTATCACTCTCCCTTTACCTCTTTTTCTCTCTTCTCTTCTCCTGCTAAGAACTTAGGCCTGCTTATGTTGAAGGAAAGGGGAGAGAAAGCTCTGCAATACTGCCTACAATATTTGGTGATGGGATAAAGATGTCCCCTTTCTGTTGTCATTCAGAATTTTCTTCTGAAACATAAAAAATTTTGTATTGAAGGGACTGAAAATCGATAGCATAAAGAAACAACATAGCTGTGAAGCATTTAAGCATTTAAGTGGGAATGAATCTATCTTCTGGGGCAGTGATTTCCAAATTCAGCAGTACACTACATTAGAATAAATAGGGAAGCTTTAAAAAATACCACTGCCTAGGCCACATCCCAAACTAATTACAACAGAATCTGTGGGCATGAGACCTGGGAATCAGTATTTTTCAAATCTTTCCAAGTGATTCCAATGTATAGCCAAACTTGAGAACAAATGATCTAAAGCTGTGCTTATCAAACTCAAATCACCTGGAAATTTTGTTAACATGCAGTCTGAGGTGGTACCTGAGATCCAGAATTCCTAACAAGTTACCAGGGGATGTTTATGCTGCTGGAACAAGTACCATACTTGGAATAGCAAATTTCTAAAGGGTAGATATATAAATTACATGTCAGGTAGTAAAAGAAGGGACATGGAACTAACATTTGTTTAGTATTTATGTGCCAGGCACCATGTTGGGAACTTTACATATATTGTCACATTTAATATTAAAAACAACCTTGAGAGAATGTTATTTTTTTTCATTTTAGAAATGAAGAGACTGGCCAGGTAAGGAGGCTGACACCTGTAATGCTAGCACTCTGTACCATACTCTTACATTTGTACCAGAGACCAAGGCAGGAGGATTCCTTGAATTCAGGAGTTGAGATCAGCCTGAGCAAGAGCGAGACCTGTCTCTACTAAAAATAGAAAAAATTAGCCAGGTATGGTGGTGTGTGCCTGTAGTCCCAGCTACTCGGGAGGCTGAGGCAGGAGGATCGCTTGAGCCCAGGAGTTTGAGGTTTCTGTGAGCTAGGCTGGTGCCACGGCACTCTAGCCTGAGTGACAGAGCAAGACTCTGTCTGGAAAAAAAAAAAAAAGAAAAAGAAATGAAGAGACTGATGTTGAGTGGGTATATAACTGCCTAAGGTTGGATAGTTAATTCATGATGGAACCTGGATTTAAATATAGGCATAGATCATAGAGTAATAGAAATTGTTGGAAATTTTCAAATACTAAGCGGAAGCATTTAGATCCAAAATGGTGGGCAATATCTTTGCAGGCACAATCTTCGCAGAATCACTTAAGGAAAATACCAGTGTTGCTCATTCTGATTTCACACTCTTGTCTCATGCAGTGTACCTAGGCAGGTAAATAACATGATACTGTGCATTCCTCTAGACTGGGGCCATGCTCCAGTGTTAATGGTATCAAAGATATCCTGGAGAAGTTAAAGTGGAACATGAATACATGCTAATAGTAAAAGAGCAGTGCTAGTGGAGGATGCCAAAATTCAACAGTAAACACAAACATTTTATTTTTCAGCTGCTGATATCAAAGGATTATTGATTCTGGAGAGAAAATTGTATTTCCTAGCAGTATTTGGCTGTGATTCCTTGATTCAAATATTCTTTTAAATGAAAGCATTTCTTAAAGATAGCTCTGCTCCTCTTGTTTTTTTTTTAAGTAATTTTTTTCTCTCCTTCCAGGAAGTTGAAAAATGAACTCTTAGAAGCAAAACGCAGAAGTGGGAAGACTCAACAGGAGGCCAGCAGAGTCTGTGTTCACTGTCAGAGAAACCTGGGCCTAATCTTTGACCGGGGAGACCCATGCCAGGCCTGCTCACTGAGGGTGTGCAGTGAGTGTCGGGTCACGGGCCTTGATGGCAGCTGGAAGTGCACTGTCTGTGCCAAAGTAGCGTGAGTTTCTTGCCTTTTCATGGAAAGTGGAGATTTGATGACTGAAGAGATTGGAGTGGGGAAAGCAAGAAAGAAAAAGAGTATTTTAAATTTAGGGATAGAGCATAGAATTAAAAGTACAGCCCAATCACAAGCTCAGCAATGCCTTGGCAAAGCTCTGGGATGTGTATATGTAGGGAGGAGAGAGAGAGAGAGAGAGAGAGAGAGAGAGAGAGAGAGAGAGAGAGAGAAGAGCACACACACAGAGCAAGAGAGACAGAGACAGAGGCAGACACAGAGACAGAGATGAAGAGATAACAACATTTTTTAAAAACTATGAAGCATAGTAAAATTGGAAGCCTCACAGAACCAGGTCTCTTTCTGCAATTGAAAAGCACCCATGATCTTTCTTCTCTTAAAGCCTCTCTTGGCTCCACATGGTTTCTCAGAAGGCACAGACAATTCCCTTGAGACATTCTTAGACATTTAGGGTGACTAGCAAGATGGATATCAAATGTCCAGCTTGCTTTGCACATTAGCTGAGGAGCAAAGCTGGAACAGTTCCTGAATTTCCCCCAATCCTACTTTTCCTTGAAAAAGGGCAAAGGGAGAGAACCTTTCCATTCATCTCTCTGTTTAGCCTGTGGGTGGGCACAAATTTCACTCCACCAACTTGAGTGAAAGTTAGGAATCATTGTTTTCTCAGTTAAATTAAACCAGAGTCTAAGCATGATTCAATCTCTACTGCTCCTGGGGCGTTCCAAACTCTCATCCTTTCGAGACTTCTCCTCTCAGTCCTCTGGTATGTTTTCTCCCTCCCAATGTCCCATTGTCTCTTCTACTCCGGGAGGTGTCTTATAATCAGTCAGTTTTAGAATTTTCATTTTACTTATGCTGTGCCTTCTTATTATCTGCTGACTTTTTCATTCTTTTCTTATAATTTCTTGAAATTATTATTCTTGCTTATTTAAAAGTCTATGAATTATAGCTCTATTATCTGAGTCCCCAATGGGACTATTTCTATTGTTTGTTGTTTTCCTTGATTTTGGTCATGTCTTTTTTCCCATAAACCTGGTAGTTTTTGATTGATGGTCCATGTTTTAATATACGAAAAATGATAACATTCATTAAGACTCTGTATAATATGTATCTATTGAGAATATACACTTTTCTTCTGGAAGGAAACTAGGATATGGCCACTGCATATTTAAGATTACCTTAATCGAGTCAGGGATTGAACTAATTTCAAAACTGGAGCCTTAGTTCCTGTGATGGCTGATCTGTTTTCTGGACCACATTTCCTCTAGGGAATAGTCCTTCAGGGTCTCATAACATACCTATTAGGTAAAAGGGGCAATTGGTTTTATATTTTGTAGATAGTATAAACAAGAACACTAAGAGTTAGAATGTGCATTCAGTAGAGGCAAGATGAATATCAAAATTTTGTTTATTTGTACATGTGTTTCTTCACCCAGCTGTTTTTCCACCGGACTCTGCAAAAGTTAGGTTTTCCATTTCAAGGCAATGAAGAAGGAAATGAAATTTTAACAAATAACTGGTCTTCCAACTGCTGAGTCTGAGAAGTGATGGGAAATTTCCCAATAACTATTTCTCCAATTCTTATACAATAGTATGTTATTTGATCCTTACTATTTATTATTTTCCATTTATATCCCATTTCTGTTCACCCTCTTCTTTACATCCCACACTCTTATTCACTCAGACAATGGTAACCCGAGTCTGTGACTCAAAAGCCCTTCAATCCGTCACAAATTGCCTCAAGCTTCTGTATAGGGAGAGGAATTGTATCTTCAACTTCTAAATTCCACTTGTAATTACTGAAGCATACTTTTTAATATTAATACAAGCCCCAATGGGATTATGTATTCATACATTTTGCTATCAACTCATTTGCTAGTTAGTATGGATGGTAACAGGAGGTCTAATTCACTCAAACCTTCTCCCTAAATCATGTCAGATTAACTTTAGGTTGTACTAATGAGAAATAAACTTTTAATTTGTTAAGTCATTGGAATTTTGAGATTGTTATAGAAGCTAGCCTACCCAAACTAATACAACCCTTCCTATGTTTGTTCCCTTAATACTTATATGGTATATACTTTACTTATTTTTCTATTTATTATCTTTCTTCCTTCACCAGATTATAAACTTCATAACCATGAAGGCAGGGGGTTTATCTATACTATTCACTGATGTTCTAGTGCCTAAAAGAATGTCTGTAGTAGGCATTCAATCAATATTTGTTAAATGGATAGATAGATGAATATATAAACAAATGAATAGGTGAATGGATGAATGAGTGGCCAGCTTCTACTTAAAGCATTTTAGGCTTAAGCAAGGGGAACAAATGTAGAAAAATGTAGTTTTCTTCTGTCAGGAGGATGGAGTTAAAAAATAAACCATGCCAAATATATTTGTCCTCTAAACAAGGTAAATTTCAAACTGTCGCAGAAAGATATAAGACGAGTTGTTGTCAAGAGGAGTAAGAATAAATAATAACAAATCAAGTTCTGTGTATTCATGGAGACATGTTAATGCTTCAACGAATAAAGAACTTCTGAATCAATCATACTCCTTATATTGATGAAACAATTGAATAAACCCAACCATCCACCTATCCAATTGATCTGTCCATCAACCCATCCCTGCTACATATTTATTGGATGGATGGAGCAACCCAATTGATCCATTCATCAACCCTCCCTCCTGCATATTTACTGATAACCTGTTGGCATACAGGAGTTAAGGATACCACGTTGAATAGAACATCAACTACTCTCAATGGTTTCACAGTCTAAGGAGGAAGATGAGTTTATTAAATTATTATTTCATTCACAAATGAATGTCTTCATGCATTAAAATGTCCTAAGGAAGAAACAGATTTCAATGTGTGATTCTTATAATTCTGTGCAACAACTTATATTAATAGTTATATCCTTCTGTGACAGCTAGAAATTTACATAATGAATGTTTAATTTGACATATCAAACTCCTTTCTCAGTTTTAAAGCTGAAAGTCAGAGTACATTATTTCTCCAATATTCTAGCTCCTAGTCTCTATGCTCTCAAGACAAACTATCTGTCAGTATTAGAAGTATCTTGTTTGCTATTCATGGAGTGGTTTTCAAAAAGGAAGCATGAATGATATTTTATTGGCAGTGAACACCCTTTGTTTGTTGTGAGAGAATGCCGAAGCCCCACTGGGCTGTCTCCATGTTAAATAGACCATAAAATTGAAATTCCCACCCTGACCTCTAAAAGATGAGATGAGTCAGAAGGTGACTCATTTCTCTAATCAGTTGGAAGAACAACCTTTATTGTCATTTACTTTGGATTGGGTAAAAGTATAGAGGTTTTATTGCTGTAGCAGTGAAACAATTACAGCAAGGACTGATAGAGGGAGGCTACCTGTTATAATAAGCTAAGCAGCCCCTGACATTTTCTCCAACCCCTTCTGATTCTAATAAATTGGCTGTTGTAGGTCTAGTTTTTAAACTGATTCTATAATGAAAGTGACCTTGACACAGCTGGTTAATTCATTTTGCTAAATTAATAAGGCCTACAAAATTCCACATTGATTTTGTTAGCCAAGGCAGTTGCCACCTAACACAAAGACAGTCATAATGATCATTTTCCTAATTAGCATCTGACTGAACTCAGAAAGACCTAAAAGATGAAAGCTACATGAGAATAAACCAAAAAATTAAATACCTCTGACATGGTATTGATAGGTTGACCTTATGTTCATGCTGTGTTGCAACACCTTATGCTGCTATACGCTATATGCTGCTTGTGAGAATCTTTCTCTTTTTAAAGTAGGAGGAACCTGATATTTTTTATTTTGATGAATTGGTAATGATTACTACAATAGATGAAATATAAGAGTTTCTATCAGTAAATTTGAAAAAGATAGTACCTACCAATGGATAGAATATACACAGAGTACAGGAAGGATGTATAGTTCTTTGTTATGAGAAAGAGAACTACAACCCCCTGACATCTGGCAACTGGTCTGACACTTATATGTAGGCCTTGGTTCTTTTTCTGTGATATGACAATTTGTGTGTATTGCACAATTTTCTGTTAGGTTGTTGGTATTTTTCTTATTAATTTTGAAGTATTCTTTATGACCTCCTTCATCTCTAAAAAATATTTTTGCCTTAAAGTCTATTTTGTCTGTTATTAATACAGCTACATCAAATTTCTTTTGTTGCATGGTACATATTTTTCTACCATTTGACTTTCAACCTTTCTGTTTCCATATATTTGAGTCTTTTGTATATACCATATGTGCTATTTAAAACTACAGTATATGTTATATGTTTTAAAGTATTTTTATACATTGCTATATACCCCATATATGTATATATACATATACATGATATAAATATATGCTATGTATAATTTTTAAAGTTTACTCTGGCAATATTTTTGTTATAGAGTTTAGTCTACTTACACTCATGATTACTTCAATATTGCATTTATTTATATTATCTATAGATTTAAGTATATTTTTATCATTCCATTTTATCCCTTCTATTGGTATAGATATTACATGTTTTTTTTATTATTTTTACTGGTTACTTTACAAATTACAACATTCATATTTAACTTTGCAAATCAATACCTTTACCTTTATTCCAATCAATAAAAGGAACTTGGTATTCTTAAACTCCAAATATCTTTTTCCTGCCTGGTCTATGATTTTTTTCCCTGTGTGTTAGACATCTCTTATTGTTTAATACAACAATTTATATATTATAATTTGTGTTTATACATCAATGTTTGTTCAGATTTAGCTACATTTTATCAATTTCATTGTTCACCATTCGTTTTGATACCTAAGATCTATTTTACCTCCTCCTGCAGCATAGTCTTTAAAAGTTACTTTAGTAAGAATCTGTTGGTGATAAATTATCTCAGTTTTTATTTTGTTAAAATTTCTTTATTTCATTCTTATTCCTAAACAGTGGTTTCTCTGGATAAATAATTCTATGTTGATAGTTATTTTCTCCCAGAACTTTGATGATATCATTTCACTGGCTTCTGTATTTCATTCTTGCTGTTAAAAGTCAACTGTCATTCTAATTGTCATTCCTTTGTAGATAATCTGTTTCTCTTTTTTTTTTTCCCTAGCTCCTTTTCAGATGTTCTTTTTGTCTGCAGTGTTCTGTAGTTTCATCATAATATGTCTATGGATTTTTTTTTTTTCACTTTTCCTGCTTGGGAAGGGGAAAAGGAATAAATCTAGACCATCATTTCCATATGGCCAGGGTCCTCATTTGTCTTCTTCTTCAGCTCTGCATTCTTAGCCCTAGCACAGGGCCTGACACATAGTAGGAACACAGTAAATATTGGCTATGTAAGGAATAAATTTACATAAATAATTTGAATTAGTCTCTTGAGAAATAATAGAAGAGAACTAATATCTTATCTCAGCATATCTAATAAACATATCTTATCTCAGTGTCTCCAATAGGTAACAGAAGATAAAGGAGTAAAATGAATTTTTAGTCACTTTTTAGGGTAAGATAGCCTACTTTTTCCTATGAATTTAAAGAGAACTTACCTTGACTTCACATTTATATAAGCTTCCAAGTGAAGGTTTGAAGTCCCCAGAGTTTAATGTTAAAGAAAATCAGAGCCTTACAAATTCTGAATAGTCACTAATCATTATTCACAAATGAATGTACCCCACTGTAATTTTAGTCAACTCATTCTTCACAGTATGATTTAGAGGAAACAAGTCTATTTCAAGCCCATGTTTTTCAAATTCCGGATTAATGTGGCAGAAATGGATATAAATTTTATAGTAGATGTCATGTTTATTTTCTTTCCTCTTTCACCTCTCCTTTATTCTTACAACTGTGCCCCCAACACACACACACACACACACAAATACAACCAACTATATAAAATGCTATGTATTATTCCTTGGCTTCTATAGGCTTTCACCTCTTCTCAAAGCCTTGTTATGTCTGACATATGTGAGGTCTCTTCTGACAATTTTGCCAAATATAAAGCATCTGGCCTTTCAACATAAATCTTGTCTCTGCCATAATAATTGTATAACTTTGAGTAAGCTGTTTAACCCATGTGATCTTCAGTTTCCTTCAGTTTCCTTCTCTGTATGTTAAGGATAATAACAGCTATTTCATGGCTTATAGTGAGGATTAGAGAGTACCTAGCACATTACTTGGTGCCTGGTATGCACTCACTATTAGTTTCCTGTTCTATCAAGTCTTCCATCTACTTCCAGAACCTCAAAAGGTGAGAAAAGCATAATCTCAAGAGACTGTTCTGATATTTCAAAACTCTGAAAGGACAAATGACTCAATTATACATCTGAGTTGAGCAAATATGAGGTTTATAGTTATTGTTCTCACAAGGATAGCAAGAGGTAATGACTAACAATTCTGGGAAGATCTTATTTGTGTTAGGTGTTGGCAGCTTTAGGTATATGTGGTAAAGGTGATATGGAGGCATATTTCCTAGGGAATGTAGACTGTATGTGTCCACTTTCCCCTGTAACACCTGAAACTGCTGTCAGTATGCTATCCCATCCTATATCCCAAGAACATACAAAAAAAGAAAGTTAATACATTGGCATGCCACTAACAGGTGATTTTCAATTAATGAACTATACTATTCCTCTTGTTCTTGTTTCTTTTTGTGTAAACTCTTTGTCCTCTTACAGAAGTTTACAAACTTCTCTTTTTTAATAAAATACCAGATAATAAGTATTTTAGGCCTTGGGGGCCATATGGTCTACTGCTACAACTACTAAACTTTGCAGGTCTAGCACAAAAGCAGCCAGAGACAATACATAAATAATTGAGCATATATATCTTCCAATAAAACTTTTATTTATAGGCCCTGCATTTTGAATTTCATACAATTTTCATGTATCATAAAATATCTTATTTTGATTTTCTCAACCATTTAAAATGTAAAAACCATTTCTAGCTTGGGCCATACAAAACACATGGTGGGGAAAATTTGGTCCACAGGCCAAAGTGTGCCTACCTCTGCCCTATTGCATTTCTGAATTTTCCTTATTTATCATTTTATAACTTTTGCAAGACATTTCCTGATTTGAATATTAGAACAAACACATATGTATGTTTTATTTTCATAGTAGTTTTCAATTTGCCACCATAATAAATTACCACAATTTAGCAGTTTAAAACAATGGAAATTTATCATTTCATACTTATATAGCTCAGAAGTCTAGGTTGGCTTGGCTTGTTTCTCTGCTCCAGGTTCCACAAGGATGAAATCAAGGTGTCATCTAGTTGAGCTCTTATGAAAAAGCTCTGGGAAGAATCCACTTCCAAGCTCATTCTTATGGGCAGAATTCAGTTTCTTGTGGCTACAGGAATGAGGTTCCCATTTCCTTAATGGCTGTTAGGTGGCAGCCATCCTTAGCTCCTAGAGGCCTCTCCAGTCTTGCCTGTGAACCCCTACATCTCAGAGCTTTTGTAGCATATCAAATATTTCTCACATTTGTAGTCTGACTTTCCATCCTGCAGTGTCCCTTCTGACTTCTTTTTCTTCCTCTGTTTTTAAGGGGTCATGTGATTACTTTGGGTAATCCAGGATAATCTTGCTATTATGAGGTCAGCTGATTTAGTAACCTAATTCCATCTGTAAAGTCTGATCTCATCAGTACCTAAATTAGTGTTTGATTGAATAGCCAAGGAACAGTAATCTTGAGGAGACGTCTTTAGAATTTAGAATACCACAATTATCACCTGGATTTCTAGCATAAGTAGTGATATATAACTCTATAGATCACTTCAAATGTATCCAGAAATAAATTAACCCATTCAAGCTTTTGGTTTTGGCGGGTTAGGTCTTCTTATATTTGATGCATTCGTTAACCATATTTTATATGGTTATTGTTATGGAGCTAATCCAATAGTCTGAGCTTCTCAATAGGTGACCTAGCCACTTGGGAGTAAATCTGAGGTAGAGATGCTATGGTCCTACCTTTTAATCAATACTTTTTCCAAGATTAACATTTTCACTTTTTTCCCAGTAGTGGAACTATGCTTCACATATAGCTTGCCTCTGTCTAATATATGCAGAAGCAGGATTTCTGGTAAATTACTTTGGGTAAGAAAGTTGACATATTTTTCTGGAATGATTTTTATGTTTGGGATCCAATTGTTGATTTCCAAGTCCAATCAGTTGCTGAATCTCATGAATATAATACTCTGGGACTACAAATCTCTACTTGACTCTCAGTTGTTTTTCCTCACTTACCATATCAGACTTGCCACCAATTCTTGTGGATTCTTATCCTCAACAGCCCAACTATCTATGTCTTTCTTTGTACCCTTCACTCTTACATGATACCCTGATTTGCATCTTCATTATTTCCTATCCTGTTTATTGCAACAACATTCTGATTGGCCTGCCTGCTTCTGGTTTCTCTCCTTTCCATATATTTCTCTAGAGATTATATGATTCAACATGAACTTTTAAAAAATAGCCAGAGTTTTCCATTGCCTTCAGAAAGACATTCCAGCTCCTTAGCATGGCCTTCAAAGATTTCCATTACCTGGCCCCAGTTCTACCTTTCAACCTCATTTTCCACTAGAATCCTCCACAAACCCTTTACCCTAGTCACAGAGGCCTATTTACCATTCTTAGAACATGCCCCATAGAGGTGTAGGGACAGTAATGGTCACCTAATTAGCTAAAGTCATTTCTTTATTTTTAATTAGAAATATATTTAAGCTGCTGAAGAACTTCTATAGTAGTTAAAATTCTTGTTATAAGCCTAAAAATGGACTTTGTAGCAGTGTAGCTGCTATAGGCTGAATTCCAGGTATCCTAATTCATTCTACAAATGTTTACTGAGCGCAGTGCCAGGTGCTAATCGTAGGAATGGTAAACAACACAGCCAAGGCTCCTGTGCTCATGTCACTGATAGTAATGAGGGCTATGAGGATATAAAAAGAAGGGTAATGTGCAAAAGTGATGGGGAATTAGTCAATCCTTCATTTAAAAAATGAGAACAGAGTCTATGAAAGACTCTCTTGTAAGTAGTAGGAGAGAAAAATATGGATCAGAGAGAGATTGGCTCTCAGGGAGCTTACAGCCCAGTAGACATGAGAAGGCCTGGGCAAAAATAACTCTGGAGAATGGGAGAAGTATAGACAAAGAAGAAGATTATAGGCATTTTAGGAGGGAGGGCGGAGGGGATGGTTTCTTGTAGCCATTTCAGATGGGGCTTAAAAGATGTATATGACTGTTCAAGGATCCCTCTTTCTCACCTTTAATTAATTGCAAAATCAAGATAAGCACTTCTACCATCTGCATTTTGAATTTATCTCCTCCTCTCTGTTAGTCTTACCATTGTTCTATCATGAGTCTTGTTATCTCTTTTCATGACTATTGCAGTGGCCAATCTGTCTCTTTTTCCCATTCGCTTGCCACTCTAACCCAGTGTTCATGTTACAACAAGGAATCTTTCTAAAATAGAGTCTGATCATGGCCCCTGTGTCATTCAAAATCTTAAGTTGTCCCTCATTGCTTGCATTGAAGATCATTTACCCATGAATGCAGTGGTTAAGAACTTGAGTCCTAGGCCAGACTTACTGGGACAGGATCCTGGCTGTACTATTTACTAGCTGTGTGATGTCAGGCACATAATTTTATTACTCTAAATCTCAGTCTCCTAATCTATAAAATGGGGATAATAATGTTTTTACAATGTTTTTATGTGTATAAAAATATATGAAGTATGAAGAGCAAGTAGCAAGTACTTAGCAGATAGTATATATTGAATTAGTAATAACCATTATCTCCATAAAATACTCCAGAGATCAAGATGGACTCTATAAATAACTGGCTGTTGTTACTTAATTAGGAATTTTTGAGAGTTGATTATGTGGCTAAGTAATTGAATTTTGATGCTCTCCCTTTTTCCCTTGAGTAGGCAGCTAAGAATTATAACTGGTGAATGGTTTTTTGAAGAAAAGGCAAAACGTTTTAAGCAAGTCAATGTTCTGGGCACTGATGTTGTCCGACAATCCATCTTAAGAAGAAGTCCAGGTAATTAAAGCAATTATTTGGTTTTAAAACTGTTTCAATCTTCATTTTGGCTGGCTAACTAACTTTGCTATGTAATGTAGCAAATGAGCACAATTGAATTTCTCGAATCCCTTAGGTCATTTCACATTTTGGTAGTATAAAATCTAAATCTGCAATTCATACAAGAGAAGAGCAAGTCAGTGAAAAATAAAATTCACAGTGATTTTCCATATATCTGACACACTGAGATTTTCAAAGAAAACCATGCATCATCATTACAGACAGTTCTTTTCCTGAATGCACTTCCAATATTTTAATAAATATTTAAGAAAGTAGCATAAAACAGCTGAATTAAATGATTCACATTGTGAAAGCAATTGTTGATTTTTCAACAGGATTTATATCATATTTCTTTTTTTTATTTCAGAATATTACAGGGATAAAAATGTTTAGGTTACATATATTGCCTTTGCCCTGCCCATGTCAGAGGTACAAGCGTGTCCATCCCCCAGACAGTACACATTGCACCCATTAGGTATGAATATACCACCCCTATGAAAATCCCCCTCCCTCCTGCTTTTAAATAGTACTTTTTCTAATCCATTGGTTCTCAACCAAGAGTTGATATTGTGCACTATGCCCCCCTTACCCAAAACAGGAGCTGTTGGAAATGCAAGGGGGCATTTCTGGTTGTCACATGACTTGAGGTGAGTAAGTGGCATTTAGTGGGTAGGAGCCAGAGATATTAAATGACCTGAAATGCATGGTACACTCATTTGTTCACTGGCACCAAATGCAAATAACATCCCACTTGGAGAATGCTTTTCAGTGCATTCAAACTATAATTTAATTGGTTAAATTTTTTTCCTGTACCCTCTGACAGCAAATAATTGGCTAAACATTGTGTGAAAGTTTGTGTTTGGGAGCATGTTTGTCATATATGGCGTAGAAAATTGGAATAGGCATCTTTTGGCCTGTTCTTAGGCTGTCTCATCTTTTCTACACAGTAGGCAAGTACCCTTGTTTTAAGTCTGGCAGGTAAGGCTAGGAAGCTTGGAACTGATTCCAGTCCTGCTTCTGAATGTGGCACTAACCAGGAAGGGCTTTTCCAGATAGGTAACATCAGGTATGATGCCACAAAAAAAATGGAGTGGAGTTAGAATTAAGCAGTCAGCTATGACTTATCCCTCCATTCAAACCTCAGTGCCTTCCAGAGTATAGACTCTTTTTAAAGTCACAAGGTATGTGCATAGGTGCCTGCTCTCCCAGGAAGTCTGGTTTATATGTTCGGAAATCAGGATATCATTTCTATAACTTCTTGCTACAACTCAGTCTCTAGAGATTTGGGGTTCTCACGAGGCCAGCTTCCCCTGCCCTAAAATTATCTGTAGAGAGCTGATGAATTCATTCTTCCATTACAGTCATCCCTGGAAAGTTTATCTTAGCAATCCTCCTACAAATGAGTTCTGGATCTTAGTCCTCAGTTAACTGTGGAACACTCAACAAATTAGAAATAACTGTGTGACTGGAAAACTTGGAATAGAAACAGCATTGCCAATTATTATAGACTTCTTGGTCCGGAGCTAATCTAAGAAAGTGAATGCAGAACTGAAGTTTACACTCATTTTTGGCCATTTTGTGTGTAAATCTGTCTTCTGATTGTTTTTAATGAGGAGCTGAAGAAGTACAAAGCCAAGAGCAAACCCGCCAGGATGCGGAAAAGTCAGACACTTCACCTTCTGCTGGGCGGAAGGCCAGCCATGACGGGCCCAAGAGAAAGGGGTAAGACAAACCTTTCCAAGAGAATTTTTGATATTTATTCCAGATAACTCTAAAATAAAGACTCCTTAGTTTTTCAAATCTGATTTCACTTCAGTGACTGAGAGGAGGCCAGAGACTCAACCAAAGTAACACTTTCTTATCATTCTCCTAAGGAAATGCAGTTTTAATCACCTTCAATCAATAAATAAAAGTCCCCTCTGACCTGAGCACAGAAGAGTTTTACTTTCATTTTACATATCTGGTCTCTTACATATATGGCTCCCATTACTTATAAGTAGAAGTTTTCATGTCAGGGCCAGTCTTGTCTATAAAGAGGTGACAATTGCCTTTGTTGTAGAATGTCATTACCCCTCCCTTCCAGCACATGTGCCAATATATAAAATATCCAAATTAATGACTTATTAATTGAACTTAAAGCATCATATCCCCTGTTTAAAATTCAGACTTCCTTAAGAGAAAAAAATCACATTTGGCCACCTCAATAATTTAATTCAGTGAGCAAATGTGTGTGTCAAGTTCTATGAGTAGGAAAGGGAGGTACATACATAAGGGAGCCAGAAGCAAGACAGCCCTGGGAAACTGAGGGCAGGAGAGTTCTATTAAGGGAGAAAAGTGGCTCACAAAACACAGGCTACAAAGATCAAAAGGCAAACTGCTGCTTCATAGTCCTGCATTTTGCAGTTTTTGCTTCTCAGGCAGCTATTGGCCAGTTTTTGTGGTTGAAGTAGCGAGAATTCTAAAATGCACCGAGTCACTTGATTCAGTGCTTTGTTCTCTCAGCAGAAGGCAACGTGAGAGGGTGCCAATGTCTAAGACTTTATCTGGCTTTACAAAATGTCTAGAGTTCTTTTAGAGTCCTCAACTGTGAGTGGGAATGAAACATAAATGTCCTCTAACTCAAGCACTCATGAGAAATCATGTCTTCATTAATTAGCAGATATGTATGGGAAAGATAGCCTAGAGTGTCCTATGTATGCTATCCTATGTATTGATCCTTCCTACCATGTTGAATCCATTTATCACTCCTCAGGTCTCCCACAATGCCTTGTGCCTGTACATCATGGGTCACATTGAACTCTACACCCCTACCCCCCTACACACATTTCATTGGAAGCTCCTTTAGTGCTGGACCAGTGGCTTCTTTGCTTTTGTGTTGCAGTATTTAGCATGGTGCCTGACTCCTCAAAAACAATTAATGGCTTGATTGAATAAGTAACTCAGAGCCCACACATGCCTCAAGGAGCTATAGTTGAAGACCTCAGCCCAGGCATCACAGAGTTGATTACAAAAGAGTGAGCTTGGGGCTGGGAGACAACAACTAACTCACCAGCACAATGCATCATACAAATCCTGAATCATTCAAACGGTCATAGCATTAAGCTGAGCCCTGCTGGATCTCAAAATTGGGATCTGATGGTTTTCAGTCTTCAAGGAATATAACATCTAGCTGGGGAGAAAAGGTACACACCTGAAAAGTTAATAAATATAGAAGAATTGCAGGAAAATATAAGAAGGCAATATGAGCTGCCTGAAAGCCTTTCTAAAATAAGACAGGGTGTTAATTAACCAGAAGAGTTGTCATAAGGCAACAAGTGATTAAGTATTAAATGAGTGGCTGGATAATAAATGCTAGTTGGGCAAAGGAGCCATCCAGAAAGACATCAAATTGTAAATGGGACTTGACGAGGAGCTTGAAAGGTGTATGAGGTTCAGGATAGTACAAGGGAGGAAGAGTGATTTCAGCCAGAAGAGACACTTTAAGTAGAGGTGCAGAGGTGGGGACATGCATGAGGTGGTTCTCAGAGCAGCATAGATTGACATTATGTTAAGTGCTATTCTCACCAAAAAAATGTAATTTTTCAATAGATTGAAGCTTCAGACACTTTGATAACGACACTCTTCCAGAGGTCTTTGAAACAGAGACAACTTGGCAGATTCTATTAAGATTGTGCCAGTATCTTTTGAATCCAGTTTTTCCTCTAGAAAACTATAGAATATAAAATAAACTGTTCTCTTCCAATATGATCACCAAAGAAACAAAAATATATATAGCTTCGTTGTTTTTTTTATTTTGTTTTGTTTTTAACTAAAGTACGCTTGGAAACACTCATGTTCTTGGCGTTCAGTATCCCAGATCAGGACTTTAATCTAGATTCCTGAAAAGCTGTTTTTGCTTAAGTTCCAAATAATTTAGTGAAGTGGGAATTCAGTCAGATTTCATCCAACATGAGGCACCACACTGTTCAAACTTCATTACCACAGGGAGAAATGTCATGGAAGATATAAAAACGACTTCCACTACATGTGTTTAGTCATTCATTTCACAAGTGTTGGTTGGGTTCTAGTATGAGCCAGGCATCATTCTAGGCTCAAAGGACCTGCCAGGGAACTAGAAAGGCAGAGTCACTGCTCTCATGGAGCTGCAGTCTAATAAGAGGCTACCTTAGTTTGTCCCAGAGGATCATCCCAGCTTCCCTCTCTAAGCAAGGTGAGTTTGAGCTCCCTTTTCTCAGTATCCCTGCAAACAGGCCCAACCCAGGCAATATATCTCCATTCTCAGATGACAGTGGTGAGTTCCCAAACTAGGTGGTCTTTTGCTTAGCAGGGATAGAGGCCTGCCTTATCAGCAAGCGATATGGTCTTCGGAGAATGTCATAACCTCCTCCATTACTACCCTTGACACTATACTGCATAGATACTGGGAACTCCCCATAACCTCTCAGCCCCGAGACTATTTTCTTGAAGAATCCTTTATTGTTGAAAGTACTAGCAACTGTATTCGTGAAATATTTTTAATGTTTTCTCTTTTTATCTTACTTTATAATACATATATACATACAATTTCAGATTTCTTCTTAGCAAGTTCAGATCAGCAACCAGAGGAGAAATCATAACTCCAAAAACTGAGAGTGGACGGAGCTACAGTTTGGACTTAGATGGCCAAAATTTTCGGAGTTTAAAGTCAGCCCCCACTTCAGACAGGTAAGAGACATGCAAATTGAGCAATGATATAGCCTGAGGATAAAGTTGATACAGTCTCATCCCAAAAGGACTTCTAGGGTATCTATAAAGTATTACCACTTAGAGAACTCCTAACACGTAGTATGAAAAGTTAGGGGGATATTTTTTAGTTGAAATGGAAAGCACTTACCCTCCTTCTGGAATTACCGCTATTAGAATTGTCTGTGTCACCTGCAGGGATGAGTCTTAATGTTTTGGCACTTGGGGCTGCAATTCAAATGGAGATGAACAAGGCCAGCAAATTGTTTTCATTGATTTATTAATCTTTTTCTGTTAAAGCTTCTGAAAAAGAAACCTTCAAAATGTCATATACATTCTTTTCAGCTTTAAAAACATATTAATAATTTCATCATTTGAATTGCATCAGAGCATTTTCCATAAATTTCACGTTCTTCTAGTTCCACCTCCTCTAATTGGTTATCAGTGGGGCCAAGTGAGAATCTCCTATGCACGAAACTATTACTTGTCAAGAGAAGTAAAGAGGAATAAAAGGTTATCCAAGAGCTAAGTCATTTTATATCAGGCTTAATTTTCTTTAACTTATTGGGGCATAGTCAAGGCTTATTTTCGTAATTAGTGTATTATCAAAGGTAGCCATGAATAAAAAGATCTACACGCATGTTTCATTGGTTTGTCCAAGGGTTAACTCCCTTTTGTTTTCATGGAGCTGCAGTAATTCTGCTAAGCCAGGTAGTAAAACTGGCAGACTTTCTTTTTTCCTTAAGTTCTGCAAGCAGAATTGCATTCTCTGCTGTAATCCATTTGAGAATATAAACCAAAAATTTCCCAAACTCTTAACTGTTGGGTTATTTTTTACGGTGATTCTCCATATCTGTTGTTTTTTTTTTTCCTATAGCATTTCCATAAGCAAGAGTCACTTTATGTAAAACTGTACAGAAAAAAAAATTATAAGGAAGCATAAAATAAATTATCTATTGCCACTATCAAAAGATCATCACTATATTCAGTATTTTCCAAATTTTCAAGAATGCAGATATATTCCCTTTACAATTAAAAAAAGAATTAAGCCAGGGTTGCCTTTGTCCTTGAAATAGTTTTATTTGGCTTCTCATGCCCCAGAAAGACTTTCTATAAAAATCTCAATATTATTTTTGATTATTGGACTCCTAACTCAGAAATAGTAGTGATCAAAATTATTTTGAGAGTATAAGCAACTAGTTTGCTGTTATTCTCTTTGCTCTGCCTCCTGGGGACTCTATCGATGAGCCATCTTGGCTTATACTTCAGGGTAGCATTTAATAGAGACAATACATATGAAGAGAGGAAAGAGTTTCTTGTTTAAAAAGCAAAAAAGACTTCTAGCCTAGCAAACAAAATTAAATTAGGTCATTTTGAGTTATTTTTCTTATAGTTACTCAACAAGAATAAGGGGCATGCTCTTCACTATCTTAGTCTTTGTATCATTATTGACTCTATCTGCCTGGGTTTACTCCTTGTGTCTTATCTACTGCGAGGCATAAATAACCATAAAGATACACACCCATATGGACATGTTTTACCAAATACTGGTGTATTGGCCCAGGGGTTTCTTGTTCTTGTTGTAATCTGAAAGAAATTCCCTAAGTAGATTTTATTTTAAATTGTAAATACCTGAAATGGTTTACAGATAATCAGAATATATTAGTCAGGGGTGCTTTGGCTTATGCATGCCAACAACAATGTTTCCCCATTAAGAAAGAGAATAAAGATGCTCAGGAGATCAGTACAGCAAAATACTCTTTTCCTGGAACATGCATTTATCACAATGATGACTCATTAATGGACTGCCACAGTGAAATGAGTTCCATTATCCCAAAATGAGTCTTTAGAAAGATGGAGCAGGAGGTAGCCCATCTTTTCTTAACTCCCATCATCTAAAGAGATTATAAAATCCCAGTCCCTTTAGTCTATTACCTGACCCAGCTTAGCAATTATTCCCTTTTCTCCTGTATAATGCATTTTTCCATGGTCCATTGGTCTTTTCCTGGAGCAGCTGGGCTTGGGCATTCTTTTTAAAAACTCATATAATATCAGAGTGGAAATGATGTTTTATCATATGTCTGGTTGGCTTTATTTCTTTTTAGTGGTTTCAAAGCAGGAGAAAGCATGAATGGGTTAGGAAAGGTCTAGCAGCCTCTCAGAAGAGCATGTCCAATGTCTGTTCACTGGATGCTAGAGACTTGACATATGAGACATAGGAGATTTTTTTGAAGACTATAAAGGTAAACTATAGTTAATAAACAGAATGCTATTCAAGGCAATGGTCTCTAATGCCTTCTAAGTTGCAATGAGTTGTCACTGTGGTATGATTTGTGAGATCGCTATCTCAAGTCATGCTCCCCCAGAAACAGACCCTCAGACAAGAATTCAAAGGCAAGTGATTTATTAATCAAATGATTGCAAGAGAAACCAGTAAAGGAGTAGGAGAGACAGAACAGAGAAAGGGAGTAAGTAAAACAATGGTGCTATCTCAGATAAGATCTGAGTCTGAGTACTCAGCCTGATCCTGCAGGGGACTCTGCAGCACAAATTATATCCCTGAGATTTTTCCATTTTAAGGAGCTGGACTGTTGCACTCCTATACCAGTCAGCCATTTACCATGGATTTCATGTATAGGGTCTCCAGGCTTAGCGAAGGAAGATACAGGGTGCCCATTTGAATTTAAGATAAACAACTTTTTGTCGTATGTTTCATGCAATGTTTGAGACATCCTTACACTTAAAGATTATTGATTGTTTATCTGAAATTCAAATTTAACTGGGAGTTTTGTATTTAATCTGACAACTGTACTATGGGGGTGAGGGGAAGGGGACAAATTCCAGGGCATTTCTAGGCCTTTAGCTCCAGTACTAAAGGGCAAGTCTCTGAAGGTGGCAGGTGTGACCCATTAGCAAAAAAGCACTCAGAAGCTAGGGAGGGGCATCCAGAGCTGGTACAAGGGATGCCAACAATGTTCCCTGAAAAAACATAAATGAAAAGTAGAACTTTGAATGTAAAATTTATTCTGTTCCGTAGAAATGGGATTATTTCTATTATGTCATTGGAGAATATGGCAAACATTTTACCACGTGACTTTATTCATTCTCATAGCCAACGCGGTTCTCATCTTTCCTCTTTATTCCTTCCCCCACCCCCACACCAGTTTTATCCAGTTATTCTTAATTGCTATCCAAGAGGCCTGGGACTGATTGATATGATGTCTTTGAAGCTTCACAAGCTGTTTTGCTTGGCTCTGATCCAAAAACAGACCACACCATTCAAGTCAGCCCTTAGCTAGTTCTTATCTGCATTTCAAGCACTCACGCTCTCTCTTTCTCTCTCTCTCTCTCCCCTCTCTCCCTCTCTCCCATCAGGAAATATGGCATTTTGGGTACCATCGTGACAAAAATCATTCTTTCCTCATGTCTATTATTTTGGCAAAGTGAGTTTATCAAACCTATTCCATCACTAAATGAGACCTCCTTTCTCCTCTTTTTTCCATCAGAAATAAAATTATTTTCCTGTCCTGAATATAATTTTCATTGGTATCCTTGCAATAAAGCTTCCAATTAGGCAGCAGCCTCTTACTAATCATTTGAACATAGCAAAGTGGAAGTGTTTTAGCTCTGAGTCAGGGCCACATCCACAAAGTCAACACTGGTTTGTTTCGTATATTAGATAAAACACTATATAGCTAGTTGCTAATGCTGTTAGCAAACTCTTTTACTTACCAGGCTTTAAAAAATTGTTTGCATTTATACCACATCTCTGAGTGTTTGTAAATTTTATTCCATAATACTTGCTGTAATTGTTTCATGACTCAAGAGGATAAAGGCTATAAAGATGGTCATATGAAGGAAAATTACATTCACCGTTTTTCTGTGGCTTACCTTCCTTTGTCCAGTGCTGCTAATTCCTAATTCCTTTTTTTTTTCTATTTTAACCTCCTTTGAGTGAGCTCAGCCCTCCTTAGAGGCAGAAAGGGGTGGGCAATTAAAGCCACATGCTGTCACAAATGCTATTATAAAAACTTAAAGCAATTCATAAAGCCATGATGGGCCAAGATAAGTGAATCTTCCATGAAGCAACAGGTACACAATAGAACAGATGAGGAAACATGGATTCACCAGAGTACTGAATTTAGTTGGACTGTGACCTTATCAGTGGGGAATTGATGAAGTCTGGAGTTGCCAAAAATTTTTTCATCTAGAAACTTCTATTTATAACTCAAAACCATCCTTTCTTAAAACTCATCCTTTGCCTACCATACACACCTATATACGCTTGATTTGCCTTCCTTCAGAAGGAAACCCTGAAATAAGGATTCAAGAACAAGTAATTTGTTTAGAATCTGGTGTAGGAATACAGAGATAGGAGAGTGGGGAAGTGACACAGGGAAGGGAAGGAAGACAAGAAGGATGTGTAAATAAGCCAGTTACTACTGTGGGCAACTGGAGTTCAACCTCACTGGACAACTCTAGGAAACAGTGTAGAACACACTTCAGAGTTATCCAGTCAAGAGATGGGGAATCTCTGATATTTGTACAGCACCTCCCTGTTCATCATTGGTTGAGGGCTGCTTCTGGGGCACTAACTCCCAGGTCCTTCCAAATTGCTCTGTTCATAGGAGCTCCATGGTCCCATAATTCAAAAAATTCCTCAACCAGGGAGTTGTGGGTGTTCCCAGCAAGCAAGATTCTGTGGGTAGAGGTAGGTGAGTGCTGAGGGGAAATGGGCAGAGACACTGACAGAGTCTGCTGCAACATCCCTCCCAAACTGCTCTCAGACTTCCTTCAAAAGTGCAGTTTGTCCGACTATCACTTGCTCAGCCCCTGATTTCTGTTTACTTTATATATGTGTGACTTTCCTCATTATAATGTCAATAATGTGAGAAGGTACAGAAGCTGAGTAGTTCAGCCACACCCATAATGCTTTACTTTAGTTGAACTGCAACTGGATTTTTGACTTGCCTCATTGCTGT